CGGCCAGACCACCGCCCTCGGCCTGACTTGTCCGGCCTCTACGTAAACTCTTCGATCTACACTCACCAACTGCTCCAAATGCCCTCCTTTAGAACAGACTGCAGAGTGAGCCCAATTTTCAACCAAGCCGCCCAGTTGGGAAGGGCCGCGACTCCGACGCCGACCTGCCGCGGGGTTGAAGGTCTAAACTTCTATGAGGCTGCGCTGCAAAGGCCCGATAAACGATCTCTGCGAGCCCCTTCTGCGAACGCTAGGACCGATCTTGGCAGTGTCTGCGTGCGCTTGCACATCTTGCGACAGGGACGGAAAGCCAACTGCAACCTGGACACGCCGAGGGAGACGGCGAGGATGAAGCGCGTTCGCCGACCCATCTGCCCGCTGCCACCTGCTTCGGATCCACTTCGGGCGGTGGTCTAGGAGACTAGCGAAGCGTCAACGGTACTTGAACCCTCGCAGAGAAGGATCTGTCGGCGGCCAAGTCACCCACGATGTTGATGCCGGAGACGAGCACGTTGGCAAAGAGGAAGGTGGTCATGCCACCCAGCACAGCATCGGGAATGGAGGCGATGGCAGCTCCGAACTTCCTGGCTGGTTCAAGTCGCTATCGGAGCAGGTGACGCAGGAGCAGGATAAGCATTGCTTGAAGGATCACGCGGCACAGCATGAGCATGGAAGATGTGGAAGATGTTTGCATGCTGCGCCGAGTCTCTCAAAACAGCCCAGAACGATGAGCCAGAAGCAGCAGGCGATGCCCGCGGCCCGGGAGGCGCAGCGCGTGATGGCGATCACACCGTTGTTCTGCGAGAAGGTCGTGTTGGGCGGGCCTCCAGCAAGGATAACAAGCGACAGTCCCATGAGGCAACTTGTCTCTGAATCTCTCTACTATCCATTCCACTTCCCCTGCAACTTTGCCGTCCAAGTGGCAAGTCATCAAGCAGGCCAGGAAACTGTTCACGCCATCAGCAAGCAGGCCGCCCTGGATACGGGAGTCGGCATCTGGGCCCTCGATGGGCAGGCCACTGACATCGCACGAGGCCTGCAAAGCATGGCAGCATGTGGCAAGTTGTGGCGCAGGCACCGCAGGTGCCTGGCCTGAATGTCACCGACCGTCTCCACCGCCGTGATCACGAAACCCAGCAGCAGAGGGATGAAAGCTGGAGGGTAGAAGCCGATGTTGAAGGTGGTGGTCCTGCTCGCAGTGGCAGGCTGCTGACAAACAGACCTGCTAAGCAAATGTCATTGCTCTAGCCGCACTAGCCCCTAGAGCGGCTTTTGCAATTTGCTTTGCGGGTGGTAAGAAACACGGGAAGTCTCGGGAAGTGCGACAGGGGCGGTCCAGAGGAAGGTGAAGACGCCGGCTTGCTCGATCTTGTCGCCGTTCACGTACGGCAGAGAGGTGCCATCCTCTGCGGTGTAGGAGGAGACGCCCGCCACGAAGAAGCCGAAGAAGAGCGCCAAGGCAACGGAGCAGTTCTTCATGAAGGGAGAGCCCACCACCTGGATGAAGACCTGGCGGATGCTGACGCAAAACTTCCCAATAGCTCATGACTCTTTCACGTCATATAGATATACAGCGACCATGTTTGCTGCACCGTTTTACTACACCCATATGCATCCCTCTTGCAGCCAAGTCGCCAAGAAGATCATCACGCTCAGACCCAGGCCGAAGTAGTGCACGTCTCCATAGGGCAAGGCCACGTCGCCGTTGCCGGTGCACACCTATCTATCAATCCATCCATACATCTAACTTTCCTGGCTGTGTATGTTTAAATTTATACAATTGATAAAGGGACTCACATACGATGAGTCTGCAGGAATACGGTGCGAACCGGTCGCGGAATGTTTAAAGCTCTCGGTTGAATCCTATCTCCGCAAATACGAATCGATTCAAAACATGCGGAGTCTCTCCGTTCGGGGCCTGGGGCGAACCGAAGGCCGCGGCCCGGGACATGTCGTTCTCCGCGCAAAAGACGCCGCCGCCCCAGTACCTGTGGGCACGGGGCAGGCGACGACGGCACAGTCATGTTCCGGCAGTCCTGG